GATACAAGAAACTACGGAGCGGAACACTTGGACACCCTGGACTTCCACATCCGACACCTAGTTACAGAAAACTACGGAGAGGAGCATCTGGAAATCCCATATCTCTAAAAATTGTCACCTAAAATACGAGGAACTATGTTAAAGCACACACATACACACATACGTACACGCATACACACGCACTCCACATGAAAGCCTTAATAATTCTATACTATTGTGAAAGCAGCCTTAGGTTAACTGGAAATTCGGTGTGAACGGTAGCTTCGTGTACAAAGTGTATTTGATTGTGTTGTGTATTCGTAAAATACCAACACCATGCAGAGTACAAATAGGTAAAGAAGGCAAAGCAGTCAGCACCATCTGTCGTGTAAAAAGTGCGATGGATGTGCGAAGACGACGACGACGACGACGACGACGACGGAACTGAAATAAAATCATCTCGCTCGCCATTTCAATAAGCCCTGATCTCATACACTAATCGTATTGAACTTGGTGGCAATCGCTTCAGAACCTTCAATTCTTATAGTGAATGTATCAATAACTTTTCCTCATATATAGCGGTTCATAAGATATTTCGTTCTAAACACAGGTATAAGGAGTTGACTCGAGTAAAGAGTCTTGGCGCGCTGCGCCCTGTACAGCCGGTTGCCTGTACTTGGCGCGAGACTCGACCGAGTCTCTTGATAAGATTTACTATGACAAAAACCAGCACCTCATGCCTGCCTGTACTGAGGAGTGCAGCGGTGAGGCGCTAACTCCCAGCATTGTTTAAGCAGTAGCTACTCATCTCTGGCGCGAATTTCATCCAATTCTGGGTAATGCGTAAATAGCGCAACCAATACAAGCGTGAAGTTAGGTGGCCAAATTTTATTTTTTAATCTTCTTCAAATTCTAATCGTTTGATAGTCATTTAAGGTAGCTATACTGCTTCACACTAGTCAAATCAGTGATAAATTGTTAATAACGTTTTTACAATTTCTGGTGGTTTAATTAATAGTTCCGAGGAGTTACTCACGTATCAGAATTAGTTCTTAATATATAAATACATTCACAGCCATGATTCAAGCAGAAAGTCGACTGATATGTTGTCCGATGTTATGTTTTTTCGTGCAGTTTTTTAAAAGAATAAACAATAATAATAGTCCAATTATGCCGAGCAATATCTCATTTTGATTATTGGAAGATTCTTAATCGATTGGTGATCTAGACTTTAGATAATATTAGTAGCTCAAAAGATACAACCGTTTGCTTACCTATCCGAACCTAATATCAGGCATACAAGGGGCTGTAACTTTTGAACAAGTAATATTATACAAAATCTCGATGGTCAATCGATTGAAGATTTCCCAATAATCCAAATAAGATATTGCTCGTCATAATTGGACTATTATTATGGTTCATTTTTCAACAAAAAACTGCACGACAAAATATGACATCGATCATTTGGATATAATATTTCATTTTCTATTCGAATCACGACTGCGAATGTACTTATATATCAAGAACTAATGCTGTTACGTGAGTAACTCCTCGGAACTGTTAATTAGACCACTAGAAATTGTAAAAACGTTATTAAAAATTTAGCAATGATTTGACTAGTGTGAAGCGGTCTAGTTACCTAATAGTGCTTGATAGTCTTATAAAAACTTTTGATAGTCAGTAGTTTTTTTCAGAAAATCACAATCAAAATCTGGTGTGAAGTTGGCCGGTACGTTTTTGTTTCTAATCAGATTTAGTCTTTCCGGGACTCAATCGATGCAGAATCGCTTGATAATTACGAATTACCTAATAAAAACTTTGCTAGAAAAATGAAAAAAGCTGCAAGTT